TAATCGGCTGAAAAGGTAATGGCCTCGGTATTTCAGGATGGGAAAGGAGAAAGGATGTACTATAAAAAGTGAATATTATATAGCGTTATTGGTGCGTTTTAAGGCCGAAATTTAAAGGAACCACCGTAAAAAACTGTGTTTCATTAAAACAACGAACCATGTCATAAGTCAATCAAAACAATGTCAAACTGTTGCTCTTAATGTAGATTGCTGTAAAATTGATTACTGATTAATGGATAAAGCTAATTTTGAACCAAAAAAAAACTGGTTTTCTTTGTTAAGGCCAGGGGCGTTAGGGGACCTCCAGGCTTTCCTTACTGACAAGCAATTGCGTGCCGTAACTGCGTACACCGCTGGTAGTGCGACTATACTTTCCACGTGAGGTCGGCAGGTAACAGATTGCGGTAAGGTCATGTCTCCGCCAAAGATGCTAGCTAAATGTAGTCGGGCGGGGAGAAGAACACTCCCATCCTTAAATCACCCCAATCCAAGGTGGAACAGCATATAGGAGGACCAGCTGACCAGCTCTGGGGGACCAGCTGAAGTCCCAGTTTTAACCAGGCTTATTGTGACATGTGGGCTACGTCATGATGAACGAGCCCCTTCCCGCCTGCTCGTGATTCCAAACATGAATTCAAAAATGTCAAACAAAAATCAAATTGGAGAACGGAACTCCCTAAAAAAGTCCGGAAGTGTGGTCAACGACATGACAAACTCAAGGCCCTCAAAAGCTGAGAGGTGCTGGAATGGAGAAGCTCCCTACAGAGGGGCAAAGCGGGGCGAGCCATGGGACTACCAAACGGCGAGGAGAGAAAGACCCCAGGGTCAACCTCTATATCAACCTGCGGGGCCCTAAGAAAAACCCTGGTCCGGCAACGTCTCACTCAACGAAGCGATAAGGCTCCTACAAAGACAGGAGGAGGGCAGCCATCGTTCTCATGAAGGCGAAGCAATCGGCAGAGGCCAACCCGGACCAGGCCAGGATCATAAGGTGGGCAAGGGAGATCCTGCCCAACTTTGAGCTGGCAAAGACGGGAGTAAGGCTGGAGCCGAAGAAGAAGGCTAGAGTAGGCTCTACCAAGGAGATCGCGTAAAGTGCGAATAGGTAGAGGTTTACAGAAGGAGGAGCGCTCCAAGCGAAGAAAAAGAATTCCAGCTTCATGGAGGAGATGCTGAAGAGCGGTGCACTGAAGGGTACCCTGGTGCAAAGCTGGCGGCGGTTGACTGGGCTGAGATTCCAAGCAAGCCGAGGGCGCGAGTATGGCTCACCGAAAAGCCGGCTGATCCTAACACCATCCTGGCAATGCTAAAGATGTACAACCCGACGCTTCCCACGGCGGACTGAGGAGGAAGAGGTGGAGGAGGAGGTAGGACTGCGCCGGCAGGTTGTCCTCACGCTGAATAAGGAGACCGCGAAGATCCTGGAGAAGTCGGGGCACCGGATAAAGTACGGATTTAAACATGTGACTGTGGTGGAGAATCTCAAGGATTTATCTGACAATCTTGCAGATAAGCCTCCAACACAGTAAGGCGGCGTCAGCTGCCCTTCTACTCCACCCCCCAGGTACCCTGGATCCTTGGAGAAAGGATTCTTGGGTGGGGGGCATTGAAGTATAGGCTCTGTAAGGCCGATACAACAGGTAAAAGGCAAGAAGAACCTGCATACTCGCAAAGAAGAACCTTTTTGCTACCTAATTTCAGCAATAAAGATTATGTAGCCGCAGCAATACAGAGACCAAAGGGACCTCTAAGGGTATGCTCGTCGTGCGTGCCAGGATGCCCTTTCCCCGCACCCCCTACTCAAACAGCTGGTGGAAGACAGCGGGAAGCATAAGATTGAACTTATTATAGGGTGCGATGCCAACGCCCATCATCATCAGCGCTGCCACTATCGAGATAGGTGAGTCAATTTTCGATTTTATCCTAAGCTCAAATCATCTGGGTCATAGGACCAACATTTATCGTCAAGAACAGAACAGTCTTTACTCAGACTCTCTAGCAGACAGGGTTGTTAGATGGAGAGTCCTAGAGAAGCGCTTCTTCTCGGAGAACCGATACATAGAAGTAGTGGTCAATTTCAAGAACTTCACTCAGCTAGTAGTACGCAAGTCTAGGAAGGCAAACTGGGAGCTCTACAGGAAGAAGCTAGACAGATCATTCGGGGAGCATCCAACAAGACACGTTAACGACAAGGAAGGCCTTGACGCCATGGTGGGCACGCTAACGGCGGCCTGGGCCGGGGCATTCAATAGGGCCTGTTCCAAAAGTAGATCGGGCAGTAGCAAGTCCTTAAAAAAAGGGCCTAAAACTATGGTAGTAAAGCAAACATAGAAGTGGCTTTACTTCACGTCTCGGCAGAGGGCAGGCCTGTCACTTCTCGGCACGGAGATCTGCCGGGCACTCCACGTCTCGGGAGGGGGATCGGCAAGGCCCTTCACGTCTCGGCAGGAGGATCTGCCAGGCACTCTGCCAGGCACGCAGAACGACACGAATACCTCTTAAGTAATAGGAATCTCAGTTGGGCGAAAAACAGTTTCAAGCCACAACTAACCAAAACCGGGCCAATCTATGGTTATGGATTAGAAAAATCTTCACACCAGGACAGGTATGGTGCCGGAGACGTGGTTGCGGACGAAGGTTGTCTTCATACCCATCGCACTGCTTTCCTAAGGGCTTCAGACCAATAAATCTGTCGTCCTTCCTCTTCGAGACATTGGAGAGGCTTATTAGCCTCCACATTCATCTTAGTATGCGTATAGAAAGGGCCGATACACGGAGTCGCCTCTCCATGAGATCACCCCGTTCGTCGAATAGGCAATTAGTGACACAGTATTCAGACTTATTTCTGATGATAGTCTATTTAAAGATTCGTCAGGAGAGGCGTTCCGCAAGGAGGTTCAACTATCAGGGGAAACTCTTACCCTCAGTACTAACGCCTAGTACCAAAGAATTACGCTAGGATAAAGCAAACAAAATGGCTATCGCGATCTATACTTGCCGCAAGGACATGGGGCTTAAATGGGGTATATCTCCAAAAATATTAAGATGGCTGTATATATTAAGATACAGCGGTCTTATGACTTATCCTCTTCTACAAGGAAGCGGTCTGGTGGCCTGCCCTAATAAACTCCATATTTAGGGAAAGGTTTATGAAAACGCAAAGGATGGCGGCGGTTTGCATTGCAGCCAGCCTTTGTACCACACCAACTGATGTCCTAGACTTCATACTCGAACTACTGCCTGTAGAGATATTGGGAGTCAAGATAGCCACGCTATTTGCAATCAGGCTACGCGAGGCGGGTCTATAGAAAAGGACTAACTATTGTCACACCAAGTTGGATTTATACCGTTTCACGCCTATGGGGGCTACGGACTACTTTATATCCGTGGATCATCCCACCTTAAACTATAAGGCCTCCATTCCATCGAGGGTGGAATGGGCTTCAAAAATAACAGCGGGTTCCCTTCATATATACACGGATGGATCCAAGTTGGCCAGGTGGGAGGCTATTTTCACTGCGAGCGGCTGTGTCTAAATGAGTGCTTCAGACTCTCCGACTACAGCAGTGTGTTCCAAGCTGAAGTAATAGGTATCATGAAAGCACTTAGATCTCAGCACTTGATATCATACAAGAAACTACTTTTATTTCCATCTCAGGGATTTTCATCCAACTTTAGGACAGTGAATGGCTGTTGCAGATCTCCCAACGAGATGGCGGGGCAACATGACATTCACCTCATATAGGTGCCCGGACATAGGGACCACGTGGGAAATTGCGCCGCTGATTCCTTTGCAAGACCTCTTGCCTATGCGTTATCACAAGGAGCCCCAGCGGCTCAAGTGGATTCGGGAGGTCAGTGACTGCCCCCCGCATCGTCGCCACAACCAGCCACCAAAAAAAAAATATCCTTTCGGGTCCGGAGGTCAGACCATGTTTACTATTTGTTTTCGGGGTCGCTGAATCCAAATCCGAGGTCCTAAAAACCCTAGCACGGCCGGGTTCTGACATAACCTCAAAAAACCTCATACAAAATTATATTCGAGTCCGGGGGTCAGACCATGTTTATTATATGTTTTCGGGGTCGCTGAATCCGAATTCGAGGTCTAAAAAAATCCATAATGTCAGGGTTACGACATAACCTCACGACAGTTATGGACATAACCATAACTTCTGGGCTCAGATCACGTTTACCCCAAAAACATATGGTAATTATGGTTTAAGCCCATGGAACTCGGAAAAGAAACATTTTGTCTAGTTTTTGAGGCTATGTCGTAACCCTGACATTCTGGAGTTTTTTAGACCTCGAATTCGGATTCAGCGACCCCGAAAACATATAATAAACATGGTCTGACCCCCGGACTCGAATATAATTTTGTATGAGGTTTTTTGAGGTTATGTCAGAACCCTGACGTGCTAGGGGTTTTCGGACCTCGGATTTGGATTCAGCAACCCCGAAAACATATAGTAAACATGGTCCGACCTCCAGACCCGAAAAAATATTTTTTTTTGTGTGGCTGTGTAATTATTATTAGTAATTGCTAATAAAGGTGGCCACTTGATTGAAATTGTTTTAAAAAACTGGCCCAAAAAAAATTGTAGGGAACCAAAATAAATATACATCACCTATAGTCGGCCGATCCAGGTCGTTCCGACTTATATTAGGAAAGAAGGGTGTCTGCAAAGTTTTAAGTCGGTAGCTTTAAAACTAAGAGACAAGTTTGCGTAGAAAGAGACAGACGGACAGACAGACGGACATGCTCATATCAACTCAAAAGGTGATCCTGATCAAGAATATATATACTTTATAGGGTCGGAGATGTCTCCTTCACTACGTTGCACACTTTTGACCAAAATTATAAGACCCTCTGCAAGGGTATAATATTCTGGAACCTTTGTTCTCGTTCCTTTCACATATACTCGTTCGACTAAAATTTAATATTGTACTTGTTGTAAGAGTACCAGCTTAAAATATATATATTTTTTTTCTATTTTACTCACCGACTTGTGTAATAACTTTTCGAAAAAGGTCCATGTAGGTCTCTCCGTTGGTAGAAAGACCTAGTTTTTTTATCTTTTTAAGAATGTTCTCAGATCTTTCATATGGATAGGAGTGATATTTTTCACCATGCTTGTTTGCCAAGTGAAAGCGTAGTTCTTTTAATAATCGCGACTTGATCTGCTCATCATGCAAGAAAGTGGAGAACGTGTAGAACTTTTGTCGTAAGAACTGGTATATAAAGTTGACGGTGGTGTTAATGATACCAGTGCCGTGTGTCTGAACCGAGTTCGAAACGTGCCGTGTACTTATGATTTCCAGGTGTTTGCCATTGCTTTGCATTTCTACAAAAAGTTGTAGATTCATGTTATACGCATACGAGGAGGCAAAGGTGTGTATATTTCGCATAATTTTTAGCACATCTATACCCTGCAAAATGAAAAATGGATCAAAAGGGTCTATATAAAGCTATTCGTGATGATGGCACTCAGATTACTTGGTCTATGATCTGGTTGGGAAGATGATCATCAATGGGACTTAAAAGTAACACCTTGTTAGCCAAGTAACGCATCTTTTCGTATGATTTCCAGTCGTGGGGTGCAATTGTTGTCACGTTGTAGAATGTCTCAGTTAAATAGTTCTCAAGGTTATCTGAAAAACCGGCAAAATTTACCTGTTAGATAGCTTTCATTTTATAGGAATTTTTGTACCCTTGAAGAGGATTGTAATTTTGGTTAAAAGTGTGCAACTCAGTAAAGGAGACATCTCCGAACCTATAAAGTACATATATTCTTGATCAGGATCACCTCCTGAGTTGATATGAGCATGTCCGTCTAACCGGCTGTCTGTCTGTTTCTACGCAAACTCTCAGTTTAAAAGATATCGACTTCAAACTTTGCACACACCCTTCCTTCCTTTGCACACAGTATAGAAGTCGGATCGGCCGGGATCGGCTGACTATATCCTATAGCTGTCATATTGTCATTAATCGGAAATGGTACAACTTTGGTTTTTATACCGTTGCAGAGGGTATAATAATTTTGGTCAAAAGTGTGCAACGCAGTGAAGGAGACATCTCCGACCCTATAAAGTATATATATTCTTGATCAGGATCACCTCCTGAGTTGATATGAGCATGTCCGTCTGTCCGTCTGTCTGTCTGTTTCTACGCGAACTAGTTTCTCAGTTTTAAAGCTATCGTCTTGAAACTTTGCACAAACCCTTCTTTCCTTTGCACGCAGTATATAAGTCGGAACGGTATATAAGTATATAAGTATATAAGTACATAAGTATATAAGTATATAAGTATATAAGTATATAAGTATATAAGTATATAAGTATATAAGTATATAAGTATATAAGTATATAAGTATATAAGTATATAAGTATATAAGTATATAAGTATATAAGTATATAAGTATATAAGTATATAAGTATATAAGTATATAAGTATATAAGTATATAAGTATATAAGTATATAAGTATATAAGTATATAAGTATATAAGTATATAAGTATATAAGTATATAAGTATATAAGTATATAAGTATATAAGTATATAAGTATATAAGTATATAAGTATATAAGTATATAAGTATATAAGTATATAAGTATATAAGTATATAAGTATATAAGTATATAAGTATATAAGTATATAAGTATATAAGTATATAAGTATATAAGTATATAAGTCTATATCCTATAGCTGCCATATAACTGATTGATCGCAAATGGTATAACTTTGGTGTTTTTAGAGTTAGAGAGTTATATCCTATAGCTGTCATATAAGTGATTGTTCGGAAATTACCCAACTTTCGTGTTTTTGAAGATAGAAAGCTGGAACTTAGTACTGATTATATTTTTGGTCAGATAATCCGACCTACTATAATCCTATAATCCAATTTCATAAGGATCGGCCAACTATATCCTATAGCTGCCATATAACTGAACGATCGGAAATGTTTTTTGGTAGAAATACCAACTTTGGTATTTTTGAAGATAGAAGTTTGGGACTTTTTTTAGATTTTTTATTTTAGTTAATTGGTTTTATTATGATCTAATCATAAGGATCGGCCAACTGTATCCGATGTTTGCGATATATATCCGGTTTTAACTGCAAGGGTATATAAACTTCGGCTCCGCCCGAAGTTAGCTTTCCTTTCTTGTTTTAAAGTGAGATAGTTCAGATTTTGTACGAAAGCTATCCCATAGCGGCTATATAACTGAACAGTATGAAATGATCCAATTTTCGTGTTTTTAAAGATAGATAGTTGGAAATTCGTACAGATTCTATTTTTGGTCAGTTGATCCGACCTTTCATAACGATTGGCCGATAACGATTAAAAATAACTTTGTTACTTGTCCGAAGTTAGCTTTCTTTTCTTGTTTAATTTGAGGTGGTACACATTAGCAGTCTGCATGAATAGCTAAAAAACGACATTCAAATGCACAACCTTGAAAATGAATTGAGTAAGATAGAATGCTGAGACGAAAAGTAATGAATGAGTGAGTGCGACTGTATAGGTCTCACTTGCACAACATTCGAGGGATGAAACCCGAATTGAATGAGTTAGAGTTACAGTTCGCATTCGAATAGTTTCGAATGCATTCTAGAGTGTTCGATACAACTATGCATATTTGCCTGTATTTTTAGACGCTGATAATAAAATAATTCTAAAGTGAAAGCAAATCATTGTTTTTTTTTTTCAGAAATATTCAATATATGTTGTATATTTTATTTTACATATTTTACTTATAAGAATGTAAAAATATTTTCAATATTTATTAATAAATAATTATTCAGCACAATTTTGCCGCTAAAAAAATGTTGTAAAATAATTTAATTTGGAAAAACTTAAGAAAACTAAACAGAAAATAATAATAACAGTTAAAGCCATAAGTAAAAAACACTTTCATTAAAATTCACCTTTCGGTCAATTCCCTCAGTATTAAAGAAGTATTAAATAAGCGTTTTGTTCAACAAAAGAAAATAAATGAATTCATAGAGTGTGTTAAAAAGCACTCTTTTTACTTCCCACCCCAATTCACTCGGTTTCAAAGCAAGAGAATGCCCATGAGTTAGAATGCTCTCTCACTCTCTCACTCCCTCTTACTCAATTTGTTGTGTCTCTTGCACTCATTCATTCTATTCCATTCGGATGTATTCTATGGCTGAGGCAATAAGAATCTATTCCTGCAGACCTCTAGTACACATACATTTCAAAAATGATTTGTACTAAAAACGATGATGGTCAGTGCAATAACACGGCCTACATAATTCAATTTATAGCAAAATTTGATGAATTTCTTTTCTTAGGTGTACCGCAGAAACTGTAGGTGATGGAACCTATGTTTGTTCTGGAAATTAGTTCAATGGAGCCTAAAGATTATGAAGCAGTTGAAATTATGCGTTGAGATTTTTTTCTGAATCGAAAATGTTTGGCGATTAAAGAAAAATTGAGCGTAGCTGTACATTTAAATTTTATTATTTTAAACTAGAATAACCCTTCCAATTTCAAAGGGTTTCGAGTTTCAAGCCCAAAAGACTTGCAGTTTCGAGTCCAAAATATTTTAGGAGCAAATTAGTTAAATTCATATGAAACAAGAAAGGAATGCTAACTTCGGGCGGATAAATTATTACAATAAAATACCTAAAAACGTCCCAAGCTTCTATCTTCAAGAATACCAAAGTTGGTATTTCTACCAAATACCATACCAAAAATAGAATCTGAAAACACAAAATTGGGTCATTTCCGATCGTTCAGTTATATGGCAGCTATAAGATATTATTATTATTATTATTATTAAAGGTAGAAAAGTTTACAAAACTAGACTAGCTTAATGATTTAGCGCTGGCTACTGTGGCCGAAGTGAGTTGTTGGTGCTTAAGTCTTAAGGGATGATATATATACATGTTGTGTCTTAACTTAATATTTAACCGTTATTTATGTATTCTGTACATTATTTTTCTTAAAATTAGGCAACTAGTCTTCTTAAATGTTTGTATTTAGATTTTGTGGTATAATTGTGTTGATTTAAGGAAAAGTAGTATTTTTTCAATGTTTTCTGGGTTTAGGTCATTAAGGATATGTAGCGGGTTGGAGTTCTGGAAGATATTTTTTTTTGTTTGCAAGAGAGGTGGACATGTGTTGAGTATGTGGTGTAGGGAGAGGTTGCCTTGACAGAAAGGGCAAGGTGGTGTTGGAGTTTGGTTCAGATAGTGTTGGTGGGTGAGACTGGTGTGTCCTAGACGTAGTCGGGTAATTTTGGTTTGGTCGAGTCTATTGCAGTTTTGGTGGGTTTGTTTAAAATGTTCGCTAATATGGTGGCTATTGGTGTTGATGGATTGGTACCATTGGCTACAGTGTATTAAGTTTTGACTTTGTCTTGCCTTGAGTTCGGTTTTAAGTTGTCTTTTTATATCTGTAGGATTTATATTGGGTGTAAAGATTAGTGGGCTTTTGTTGGTCGACTTTGCTGCTTGATCTGCTAGTTTGATTCCCGCAATGCCAGCATGGCCAGGAATTTTATATTTGGGGCTAACTGTGTTATTAATGATCTTATTTTATTTGGATAAATTTTATTATTGTTTGTATTTTTAATTGAGTCTATTGCTGCGAGGGAGTCTGAGCAGATTACATATTTGCCTCTTTTGTTTTTTATAATTTTGATAGCTTCGAGAATGGCGATGATTTCGGCTGTTAAAACAGATGAGTATGGTGGTAGGATTCCACATTTTAGGATGCTTGTTTCCGTTGTAATGGCGTATGTTATAATGTCGGTTATTTTTGATCCGTCAGTAAATATAAAGTTGTGTGATTTAAGGTTTGATTTTATGTCTTCGTATATTTTCTGGTATATTTCTTTGGGTGTGTTGCTTTTTTTATGTAGTCGTATGGATGTGTCTATAAGGTTGGGTAGGTCCCAGGGTGGCTTGAGTTTGTTTTTGTTTTTGAGGTTCAAAAGGTAGATGAAATTGCTGGCAGAGGTTCATTATATGGTCTATAATTGGTGGAGATTTCTTTTTAAGTTTACTTTGTGGCTTGAGTTTGTTTTTGTTTTTGAGGTTCAAAAGGTAGATGAAATTGCTGGCAGAGGTTCATTATATGGTCTATAATTGGTGGAGATTTCTTTTTAAGTTTACTTTGTTTTACGAATTTGTGAATTGGCGTGTCTTTGGAATAAATGAGGTTTTTACTTAGTTTGGCTATTTGTAGATCTCGTTTTAATTCTATTGGCTTCTTGTAGGAGGTTATGTGTTGGAGTAGAACGAAAGGCTCCGAGAGCTAGGCGAATAGCGGAGTTTAGGGGCGGTTTTAATTTGTTGAGTGTGGTTTTGGGTGCGTGTCCGTATAGGAAAAGTCCGTATTCTATTTTTGCAACAATAGTAGCTTTTACCACGTTGATTAATGTGTATGTGCTGCAGTTAAATTTGAGACTTGAGAGACATTTTATTATATTTAGTTTTTTATGGAGTGCAGGTATAAGTTTATCTATGTGTGTGTTCCATTTGTATTTGCTGCCTATATTTATTCCTAATATTTTTAACGAGCTAACTGTGGGGATTTTTATGCTATTGAAGGTCCCAGGGTGGCTTGAGTTTGTTTTTGTTTTTGAGGTTCAAAAGGTAGATGAAATTGCTGGCAGAGGTTC